AACTAGTCCGAGAAGCGCACCCAAAAAATGTCCAATGTTGCTTCTGAAACCCTAGAAACAGAACAGAAAATCGGTGCTCAGACACGGCCAAACGAGCTCTTCGCCACACCGAAACACCATGGCCTTGAAGGACGAACTAGTCCGAGAAGCGCACCCAAAAAGTGTCTAACGTTGCGTCTGAAACTCTAGAAACAGAACAGAAAATCGGTGTTCAGACACGGCCAAGCGATGCTGCTGCTGCTGTTGCTGGTGCTGCTAGTCCTGCTGCTGCAACTGGTACTGCAAGCCTCCAAAACGTACCCTTCGCCACACCGAAACACCATGGCCCTGAAGGACGAACTAGTCCGAGAAGCGCACCCAAAAAGTGTCTAACGTTGCGTCTGAAACTCTAGAAACAGAACAGAAAATCGGTGTTCAGACACGGCCAAACGATGCTGCTGCTGCTGTTGCTGGTGGTGCTAGTCCTGCTGCTGCAACTGGTACTGCAAGCCTCCAAAACGTACCCTTCGCGAAACCGAAACACCATGGCCCTGAAGGACGAACTAGTCCGAGAAGCGCACCCAAAAAAGTGTCTAACGTTGCTTCTGAAACCCTAGAAACAGAACAGAAAATCGGCACTCAGACACGGCCAAACGGTGCTGCTGCTGCTGCTGCTGCTATTGCTGCTGCTGCTGGTGCTGCTAGTTCTGCTGCTGCAACTGGTGCTGCAGGCCTCCAAAACGTACCCTTCGCCACACCAAAACACCATGGCCCTGAAGGACGAACTAGTCCGAGAAGCGCACCCAAAAAGTGTCTAACGTTGCTTCTGAAACCCTAGAAACAGAACAGAAAATCGGCACTCAGATACGGCCAAACGGTGCTGCTGCTGCTATTGCTGCTGCTGCTGCTACTGCTGCTGCTGCTGCTGGTGCTGCTAGTCCTGCTGCTGCAACTGGTGCTGCAGACCTCCAAAACGTACCCTTCGCCACACCGAAACACCATGCCCCTGAAGGACGAACTAGTCCGAGAAGCGCACCCAAAAAGTGTCTAACGTTGCGTCTGAAACTCTAGAAACAGAACAGAAAATCGGTGCTCAGACACGGCCAAACGATGCTGCTGCTGCTGTTGCTGGTGCTGCTAGTCCTGCTGCTGCAACTGGTACTGCAGGCCTCCAAAACATACCCATCGCCACATCGAAACACCATGGCGCTGAAGGACGAACTAGTCCGAGAAGCGCACCCAAAAAATGTCCAACGTTGCTTCTGAAACCCTAGAAACAGAACAGAAAATCGGTGCTCAGACACGGCCAAACGAGCTCTTCGCCACACCGAAACACCATGGCCCTGAAGGACGAACTAGTCCGAGAAGCGCACCCAAAAAATGTCTAACGCTGCTTCTGAAACCCTAGAAACAAAATAGAAAATCGGCGCTCAGACACGGCCAAACGGTGCTGCTGCTGCTGCTACTGCTGCTGCTGCTGGTGCTGCTAGTCCTGCTGCTGCAACTGGTGCTGCAAGCCTCCAAAACGTACCCTTCGCCACACCGAAACACCATGGTCCTGAAGGACGAACTAGTCCGAGAAGCTGACCAAAAAAGTGTCTAACGTTGCTTCTGAAACCCTAGAAACAAAACAGAAAATCGGCGCTCAGATACGGCCAAACGGTGCTGCTGCTGCTAGTACCCTTCGCCGCACCGAAACACCATGGCCCTGAAGGACGAACTAGTCCGAGAAGCGCACCCAAAAAGTGTCTCACGTTGCTTCTGAAACTCTAGAAACAGAACAGAAAATCGGCACTCAGACACGGCCAAACGGTGCTGCTGCTGCTGCTGTTGCTGCTGCTGCTATTGCTGCTGCTGCTGCTAGTGCTGCTAGTGCTGCAGGCTGCAGGCCTCTAAAACGGACCCTTTGCCACACCGAAACACCATGGCCCTGAAGGACGAACTAGTCCGAGAAGCGCACCCAAAAAATGTCTAACGTTGCTTCTGAAACCCTAGAAAGAAAATAGAAAATCGGCGCTCAGACACGGCCAAACGGTGCTGCTGCTGGTGCTGCTAGTCCTGCTGCTGCAACTGGTGCTGCAGGCCTCCAAAACGTACCCTTCGCCACACCGAAACACCATGGCCCTGAAGGACGAACTAGTCCGAGAAGCGCACCCCAAAAATGTCTAACGTTGCTTCTGAAACCCTAGAAAGAAAATAGAAAATCGGCGCTCAGACACGGCCAAACGGTGCTGCTGCTGGTGCTGCTAGTCCTGCTGCTGCAACTGGTGCTGCAGGCCTCCAAAACGTACCCTTCGCCACACCGAAACACCATGGCCCTGAAGGACGAACTAGTCCGAGAGGCCCACCAAAAAAGTGTCTAACGTTGCTTCTGAAACCCTAGAAACAAAACAGAAAATCGGCGCTCAGACGGCCAAACGGTGCTGCTGCTGCTATTGCTGCTGCTGCTACTGCTGCTGCTGCTGCTCCTGCTAGTCCTGCTGCGGGGAAATACCAAGGCCCTAAAGGACGAACTAGTATA